CATCAATGGGCTCAAGCGTGGCAACAATTGTGAGGTTGGTCCAGGATCGGGCAGTGTTTCATTCTGTTGTGCATAATGTTGCTATGAGTCAGTACCAACTCATTGGTACCTAATAACAACAAGGAGAGTACTTTTTGGCAATGCTATAACTTGTTTGTTCAACAGACAAAAACCCAAACCAGTTGCTGTCACGTCAATTCTAAATCATGCGGATCAGAGTAGACCTCACGCCACAGGATTTTTAACACTATGACCTTTCAGAAGTAGAACAACAAACTTTTCTTCTGAGGTGCCTCTAGGTGGATCTGAACTGCCAGACTTTCAGTTAGCAGTCACATACTTAACCATCTGCACCATTGAGGGAATCCTTATTTGCTAATAAATAAGATTTTAAAAATCTAGATGAGATCATGATATAAATGTCTTTCTTCTACATAATCTTAAACAAACACAAAGAATGACTGTTAACAATAGTCATTTTTATGTCTTTGAAGGATAACATTGCTGCACTTAGATAGCAGAAGGCAAGGTTAACACAAATTTCCTAAAGGTCACTTATTTTTGGTCTTTTACTCTCAGAGATCTGTGCATAGTGTTGGTGAGCTGTACCTCTACAGCCCTACATACAAGGTGCCAAGTTCTCCCAAGGAACAGATGCTAGACAATGTTTTAACTGTGGGGTGGAAGAGAAAGGGACGTATAGCAGCTGTGGGCCATACTTTCCAGTGGTTAGCTGGGACAGTAAGGATAACAACACACAGTTACATGTTGTTATGTGCCACGGCGTCGGTTCCAATTCATAGCGACTCTGTACAGGGTTTCCAAGGCTGTAAATCTTTATGGGAGCAGAAAACTCCCATAAAGATTTACAGGAGCAGTCAGCAGTTCGAAACTCCCACGGAACAGCTGGGTAGTTTTGAACTGATGACCTTGCGTTTCACAGCCAGATTCGTAACCACTACGCTACCAGAGCTCCTATTACATAACATTTTACAATTTCCAGAGTGATTCCATAATTGTTGGTTCATATAGGTATACGTATAGACAACACAAATGTAGTATGTACATATTCTCACATACTCCATTCCCCTTATTGTTCTCACTTTGCTGAAATCTTAGAACTTCATGTCTAACTGTCACTAATCCTCCCTTCTCAACTGGAAAACTGGGAATAATGCAAACAGGTGGGAAGATCACCTAAGGAATTACCAAAAAAGGCAGCACAGTCTGAACAAGGGATATTCATTCAGGAGCAAAGTGACAAGCTATGCAATACAGAATAAAGGCCTGAGGGACAACAGTCTTACATGAAAGGGCATAGCAAGAGGGGATTAGAAAGCAGGGTCACAGATCAGAGATACAGGAATTCTGGGCAGGGAGTTAGAAGAACGGAATTAGGACCCGGGACTAGGTACACAGGAAGGCCTTGGTCAGCTCAATGGACTAGAAGGGGCGTTGAGCAGCACTTCAGTGAGTGGTTGCTGAGGACAAGGCACTCATTGGTAAAAGCAATCCCCTTTGCCTCTTCGCCATTCTCTCCATTTTGTCTTTCTATCCCTGATCTCTCTGGAATCGCAGGGTTTCTCTCTCCACCTTAACTGATGGTAATATAAAAGTGAAAAACAATCAATAGTTACTGATTAAAATTTTATGTTTACCCTTCTGAATTTTTAAAAAGAAGTCAAGGTGAACTTTTTCCTTTTTAATCCCATAAAGATCCCTGCCATATGACATAGTGAAACAAAATAATATTAGTATAGATGTCCTGTTACAAGAGAAGTCCAGATAAGTATTGTTTTTCTTGCCAAATGTCTTAATATTCCCAGCTGCTAGTTTTTCTAATGCTGTCTTCTAACAAGACAACTAAGGGTCCTGATTAAGATGAACACCAGGACGAGAAAAGGGAGAGTAAAACCATCTCAGTGACAGGCGATGTTGCTATGTTGCCAATGGCTGTAAAGAGCTACCTCCTTTCCTGTTTACTTGGACTGAGCACACATCTTAGCATTAGCTCTGAAGAGATGGCAAATGCAATGAGACGGAGAAAGCAGACCTAGCCAAAGGAACTGTGTGTTGTGATTACAGCATGTATCCTAAGCAGGTTCTCCAGTGTGGGGGTCCATTTGTCCAGGCTGCCTGCCATTCCTCCATTCTCTAGTGCAGCTCCCTCACAGCCAAGCCACACATTTGCAAGACATTTGGCTGAGAAGAGGCTGTGATCCAGGCTTTACATTTTTTTTTTTTTTTAATCTGAGAAACATTAACCGGTCCACAGGACTAAACATGGGGCCTTGACCACAACCAAAAGATTGAGTTTCATAATCCTCAGAGAGGAGTACTGCAGCTACAAGGCTACCATGTAACACACAGAGTTCATCAATCTATCACATGAAGGATGAAAGTATACCTATCATCTAATGTCCATCAAGTATGTAATACAAAGCAAATTAAAATGACAAGAAATTCTATTCAAATGCATTTTATCCAACTGAGCTCCGCAACTACTGTTTCCTTTTCCTTTACTGCTAAACTTTAATTTAGATAATGAAGTCTTCCAATTGAAAAAGGGAAAATGTCTAGTAGAACCATTTACAGAAATGTCTGGTGGTGGTAGTTATGTGCCATGGAGTTGGTTCTGACTTACAGCGACTCTATACAGGGTTTCTGAGGCTATACATCTTTATGGGAGCAGAAAGCCTCATCTTTCTCCTATGGAACATCTGGTAGTTTCGAACTGCTGACCCTGAGGTTAGCAACCTGATTCATAACCACTATGCTACCAGAGCACCACAGAAATGTTTGTTGTTGTAGTTATGTGTCGTGGAGTCAGTTCTGACTCATAGCGACCCTATACAGGATTTCCGAGGCTGTTAATCTTTATGGGAGCAGAAAGCCTCATCTTTCTACCGCGGATCAGTTGGTAGTTTCAAACTGCTGACCCTGAGGTTAGCAGACCATTCATAACCACTATGCTACTAGAGCTCCTTCAGAAATGTTTGGATGGTGTTAAATCTATTCCAATGAATACTGGGGTTGCACTGTGAGGCAGGCACTGTAGAAATGTCTCTTGAGAAAGTTACACAGGTTAGGTCAGACACACTTGATGTATAGAACTTTATATTTGTCTCTTTTAAGAGGAGAATAGACAGGAGAAAATATTCTTACCAAAAAAAAAAAAAATCTCATAACTCTAAGCCCACAATATCCAGGAAGTCAACTGTGAGTTAAGAACAAACTCAAAATTTCCAGTGAGAATCAGAGAGGTGGGTTCCATTTCCCAGTTGCAAACTGGGTATCTCCATTGAGTCTTCAAACAACCTTTTTTAATTTTTGTTTGTTTTTTTAAACCTGTTTAGGTCTTTCTGAGCATTTCTCTACATGTTGTTGCAGTTTGCTTTATAAATAGCTTTAGTGTGAGAGACACCGAGCAATTTGATCAGAATCCATCATTAAATCTTACTACCTCCTCTTCTCCCTCTTCCTGGTACTGTTCATCAACATTATCTTCCTGCTGGTCTGGATTTCCTGCCATCTGTTGAAAAAAAAAAAAGGGAGGTTCATGTTACTGCAAACTGGAGATGGGTTTCAAAGTGTTCTAAGACAAAGAGCAAGGATGCCACCACAAAAAGTGTATTTTGAATACCTCACTGGCCAGGAAATGATGAACAATCATCTATAACACAAAACCCAGGATGTCTGTTGCCATCTCCTAAAAACCAACCAAAGTGGCACACCTCCTGTCTGTAGATTATGACTGAACCTTTTATAAAAACCAGGAGGTTGTTAAAACACTGAGGTTCAGATTGCTATCTGTAGAGGCATCTGCTTACCACCAAATGTTCCTCCATTTCTGCATTCTCTTGCTTTTGACTGTTTTGTTTACGCTCCTCATTTTCATCTGGCAGGTTTTCTTCTCTCACTTGTTGGGCTTCCTCAAATTCATCTTCACCTTGATTATTAGGGTCATCGGCTGGGTTTATATCCTCTACAGCTGCTCTCTGTAAAATTTTAATAAAAAGTGACCCCCACTTGGAAACCTAGAATCATGCTTAATTTCACACGGGTAGAAAAATGAAACCATCCTTCTCTGGACTGTTAGTCCAAACTCAACGATTCAACACTCCCACTGACAAAAGGGAGAAATTTTGCTTTTTCAAAGACTGATGAATCAGAATGAAGTACAAAAGCACTTTTATCCTGCAAGTGATTCCTAATTGTCCTCAAAACCTTACCATCACAAGTAACGTAAGCATAACTGAATAGACAAGAAAAATAGTTGAAAAAGACACAGGACCAGGTTTGTTGTTGTTGTTGTTATGTGTCGTGGAGTTGGTTCCAACTGATAGCGACCCTGTACAGGGTTTCCAAGGCTGTAAATCTTTACGGGAGCAGAAAGCCTCATCTTTCTCCCACGGAACAGCTGGTAGTTTCGAACTG